TGAATTGTTGGAGAGTGGGGTTCAAGAGGATATAGAGGCTTCTCATATTCAACCGGATGTTGCTTCCAAACATGTTCCAAAATCTTCGAAAAAGGGCCGAAAAAATACTTCTAACACCAAACAACCGATGAGTCCAGACCCTATAGATACTATTGCCGATGATCAAGCAGCTGATTTAGATGATATGGAGGCCTTATCCATGTCCAAAAAAAATCAGCATGTGTCTCCCTCCAAAAAGAACAGAAATCAAGCTTCTAGCTCCCGAACCGCAAAGGGGGCAGCCCTCTCAACCCCCTCTCTATCACCTTCAGCCACTTCGGTGGCCAAGGATGTTCCCCTTAATCATGGGGTACACGGACGAGAGGGGTCAGGACTTTCGGCGGGTACGGATCCGATTACACCTACGTCGGCTGCCTTATTTTGCGAACACTATGTGACCAAGGTCCGGCCCACGGCCGATCAAAATTTGGCCGGCACGCCTCCTTTCAATCACCTTGCCATGATCCCTTATGACCCCGTGAGCCCAGCCACGAGCATACGCCCAGCTGATCACGCTACTCCGGGCTCTATCACTGATGAACCTTCGGCCTCGTGGCGATCGAGCCTAATTGATGCTGAGCATTGGCGTTTGCAAAATGCCGAACGTTGGCATGCGGAGGAGGCCCACCTTATTGGTAACTCATTCTTTGTCACATCTCGGAAATCTTCAGATGGGTCGCATTCCCCCTCTTCTTGATGTCGGGTAAATTCTTGGTTTGGAATGCAAGGGGGGTAAAAAATAAGGCGACCCAATCCCACTTGCGCTTTATTTGTCGCCAACACAGAGTTAATTTATTGGTTATTTCTGAACCTATGACTGAGTTTGTGCATGATTACTATTGCCGTCGCTTGGGTTTCGTTGCTGGTTTGTCTAATTGTGCGGGGAAGATCTGGATTTTTTGGGATCACAATTTTCGAGTCGAGTTGCTTAGGGATGAGGTACAATTATTGCATGTCAGATGCATATCTGGTTTATTTGGTGCTCCTTTTGTATTTACTGCGGTCTATGCTAGATGCTCTCGTTCCGAGCGCCGTGTTTTGTGGAATTCGTTCCGCGACATTTTTGAGACGATTGGTGACACTCCTTGGATTTCTGGGGGTGACTTCAACTCAATCTTACTTGAGTCAGAACGGAATAGATCGGTTTCGGATAGAAGACTAGATATGGCTGAGTTTGGTGCTATGGTTTCGGATTGTGAACTTTCGGATGCCGGGTTCTCTGGGGCTAGTTCTTGCTATACTTGGGAGAGCCCTTCAGGTCTTTTGGAGCGTTTGGACAGGATTCTATATAACTCTGCTTGGCTAGATTTACTGCCTATTACGCAGGTTACCCACCTCTCACGGACCTGGTCGGATCATGCTCCTCTTTTGGTTTCATCGGCTGCTTCTTCGTCTAGGCCTCCTGCTTCATTCAGGTTTCAGTATATGTGGATCCGCCACGCTACGTTTCGTCAGATTGTGGAACAGGTTTGGGATTTTCCGTGTGCTCAGACGGGGATGCATCGATTACATACGAAGTTGAGACGATTGAAACAGAAGCTTCAGTGGTGGAATTGGAATGTTTTCGGGGACGTGTTCAAGAATAAAGAGAGGGCCGAGGCAGCTGTTCTAGAGGCCGAGCACATATATGACTTGGATCGATCCCCCGAGAATCGTGCAAATTTGAAAAAGGCCACTGCTGAACTTACTCTCATGCTCAATATTGAGGAGGACTTTTTGAAGCAGAAGGCAGCTTGTAGATGGGCGACTGATGGAGAGAGAAACTCTAAGTTTTTCCACTCGTTAGTCAAGAAAAAGCGATGTGTCAATCGAATCCACTCTATCTCTCATGGTGATTTGGTTCTCACATCAGCTCAGGAGATCAAGGATTCGGGCGTTGATTTCTTTAGCAAGCTTCTTACCGATGATATGCCTAGTTTGCTTCCGGTTGATGAGTCCCTATTTTCCGCTCCTCAAAGGGACTTTTCTTCAGTCTCTACTCGTCCGTCAGTTGAGGAGATCAAAGATGCGGTGTTTGGGATTTGTCGAGATAGTGCTTCGGGTCCTGATGGGTATTCTTCGCTATTTTATCAGCATTGTTGGGACTTGATTCAGTGTGATGTTTGTGAAGCGGTTTGGGATTTCTTCGAGGGTGGATCTATGCCTGCGAGCTTCACCGCTACCACCTTGGTTCTTATTCCAAAGGTGGACTTTCCGACGGCTTGGACAGATTTCCGCCCGATTAGCTTGTGCAACGTGACCAATAAAATTATCACCAAGGTACTTACGAACAGACTGGCACCTCACTTGCCCCACATTATTTCTCCTTCTCATAGTGGGTTTGTTCAGGGTCGCCTCATTAGTGATAATATTTTATTAGCACAAGAGATGGTCCACTCGATATCAGTTCGTTGTCGAAATCCGAATCTTATTTTGAAGCTGGATATGGCAAAGGCTTATGATAGGGTTCAGTGGCGGTTCTTATTTCGTGTACTCGAGCTGATGGGTTTCTCGGCGAACTTGGTTGATATTATTCGGCGATGTGTTTCGTCGTGCCAGTTCTCTTTACTAATCAACGGGGAGCTGACGGGGTATTTCACTTCGTCTCGTGGTCTAAGGCAGGGAGATCCGCTCTCGCTGACTCTTTTTGTACTTGCGGCTGAGTATTTTTCGAGAGGTCTCGATGCACTATACAGCCGTTGCCCAAGCATGTTTTATTCTACAAGGGGAGGCATTCATATATCCCATTTGGCCTATGCGGATGATGTGATGATATTTACCTCGTGCCATAATTTTGGACTGAAGAAGCTGCGGGATTTTCTCGATCATTACTGTCGGACTTCGGGTCAGTTGATTAGTGTGCACAAGAGCACTTTCACAGTTGATAGGGCATGTTCTGATGGTCATCTTCGCACTATTTATCGGATTCTCAGTTATCCGAGAAAGGATCTTCCTATCATTTATCTTGGAGCACCACTATACAAAGGGAGGGACCGGGGCAGTTTGTTTCACACTTTGCTTGATCGCATGCAAGCCAGGATTTCGGGATAGGCTCGGACCGCTTTGGCTTTCGGGGGCCGTCTTGCCTTGATCCGGAGTACGCTTTCGACTATGGCTTTGCATCTTGTTCAGGTTATTCAACCTCCGCAGTACATTATTCAGCAGATTGAGCAGTGCATGGCCCGATTTCTCTGGGGATCTTATGGTAATCAGCGCCGGCCTCATTGGGTTGCTTGGGAGACGATTTGTCGGCCAGTTGGTGAGGGTGGCTTGGGGTTGAGGCGTTTGACGGATGTGATTGACGCCTTCACTTACAAGCTCTGGTTCCGATTCCGTGCCCAGGATTCTCTTTGGGCCCGTTTTCTCCGAAACAAGTATTGTCAGAATCGGTTCCCAGGTTCATCCGTTGTGTCTTCACTCTATAGCACGGTGTGGAAGCGCATGTGCCGTGTCCGAGAGCGTGTTCAAGCTCAAATATTTTGGCGGATTGGTCCCGGTCATGTTTATTTCTGGCACGACCACTGGTTTGGCGATGGTCCCCTTTCGGGCATTATTGATGGTGGTCGGCTAACGTCAGTTCGTGTGGAGTATTATTTGGTTAACGGTCAGTGGGATCGAAACAAGCTAGCTGAGGATATTCCTTTTGAGTGGATCGATAGGATTTGCTCGGTCCCAATCTCTGGTGCTTCGGGTGATTTGCCCATTTGGAGAGCTTCTTCGGATGGCAAGTTTTCCTTGACCTCGGCTTGGGCCTTGATACGACAGCAGCATACCCCTACCCCTATTCTTCGTATATTTTGGGGATCTTGTCTTACTCCTACAATTTCTATCTTTCTTTGGCGTCTCCTTCTTCAGCGTCTTCCAGTGGATACCAAACTTCAGTCTCGAGGCACCTCTCTTGCCTCGAGGTGCTATTGTTGTCCAGATCCATCTATTCCTGTGTCGAGTCTTGTATCTCAATCTGTCGAGTCTCCTTCTGTTGAGTCGATTGATCATATCTTCGTGGAGAGCCCGACGGCTAAGAGGGTATTGCATCATTTTTTCTATATTTTTGGCTATACACCTGCACACACTACGCACATACCCCAGATTTTACTTTATTGGCAGCACTTCACTTCGCACACACTCACACACCACACACACATCACGACCATTGTGCCTTGCTTGATCTTGAGGTACTTATGGATTGCAAGAAATGACAGCAAGCACAAGGATATCACGGTTCGCGCTTCTTCCATCATTTACAGGGTCATCCAGCACATCAGGATTCTTCACCAAACCAACTTACTTTCGGCGGACAGCTGGACTGGCATTCCCCACGTGGCTGAGTCTCTTGGCCTATATTACCGAGTCAGAACACCAACTCTCACACCTCATCGAGTTGTTTGGCTTCCACCGGATCCGGGTTGGGTGAAGCTAAACACAGACGGAGCACGTAGAGCATCCACCCAGATTGCAGCTATTGGCGGGATTATCAGAGGTTCGGACGCTGAGGCCATAGTTGCATTTCACGAGAGGATCTCTGCCCCGAGCAGTATTGCGGCCGAGCTTGCTGCCCTTGCCTCGGGGCTGCGATTTGTTATTCAGAGGCAATTCACTAGAGTTTGGATCGAGCTTGACGCAGAAGTCGTTGTTCGACTTCTTTCGCACACGGACCAAGGTCATTGGAGTCTTCAGAGTTCTCTCACGGCGATCCGGAACTCTCTTTCTACTTTGGAGTACAGGATTACACATATCTACCGGGAGGGCAATAAAGTAGCTGATGCATTAGCTAACTTGGGGTGTCAGACCGAGTTGGCTCGTACCTTCACAACAGCGGAACTTCCCCGACCTATTCAGCAGATGATTCGGATGGACAAGCTTGGATATCCATCCTTTCGACGACAGTCTCGCACATAGGTGCCATGCATTCCACGTTTTTTTATTATTGGCAATTTAGGAATTTTCGTGAACTTTACATGTTAGAAAGGGTTGGGGTGATTATGGATTGTTTGGGTCTATCAAGACTAGACTGTTTGCCGAATGGTGCCACACATTTCGCAGCCGTTATACCTGTTTCTCCCATTTTTGGCGAAAGTGTAAGTGGCCTCGGCTGTTGTGGTGAGGCGAACGGTCTACCTTGGTCTTCCCCGACTTCTATGATCATTCCCACCCCGTCCTTTTTATTATTTGGGCCACCTGTTTTTCCCGTTTTCTTAACCTTTTGTTAGTTACCTATTGTCTTTTGTTTGTCAATTGCTATTATTAGCCATATGTTGGGCAGTATCAATTTGAGCGAAACTCATTATGTACTTCTTAAATTTTGTTTTATAAACAGGTAGGGGGTCAAGCCTAACCCCCCACCCTCATCGGGTGTCGTTCTCTTGCAAAAAAAAAAAAAAAAAAAAAAACAACAACAACAACAACAACAACAACAACAACAACAACAATAATATGAATAATAATAATCATCATCATCATAATCATCAGAATTAATTATTCCATATACTTTCTATGCATATCCAATCCCCATTAATTATAAATATTTATTATTTGGTAACCTATTTAATGCATATTTCTATAATTGCTAAAAAGATAAAACATTTCCTTATAAAATTTGCCATAACGTGGAAACTAGTATTATGACAATATAATTAGTTATTTTAGTATAATTTGTTATATTAATAATTTTCTAATATTTTAAATTTATAAAATATATGTGCGTTTAAAAATGAGTGATTTGCGCCGGGACTGTTAGACAACGAAAAGGAGAGTACATAACTGGCACAAATGTGGCAAACGAGTGGGCCAATGGTGACTATGTGAGACGTAGGGCTGGCAATCGGGCCGTGTGAGCCGAGCCTGGGTCGGCTCAAGCTCATATACCATCGGGCCTCATTATTATAGGCTCAAGCTCAAATACCATCGAGCCTCATGCCTATAGGCTCAAACTCGGCTCACGCATTTTTTCGGGCTTCGGGTTTATATCGGGCTTATATCGAGCAATAAACAAATTACATATTTTACAACTTTGCAGTCGACATATTAAAGAAAAACAAAAAAAAAAACTTCGCAGTCTAAGCGAAAAATCTAGACTATTCATTGAAATTCAAAATAAGCTTAAAAAAAATAAATAAATAAAAAATCATAGTCTGTTCATTAAAACAAATAAAGCTTAATATGCAAATATTTAATCCTTAATTAATTATACTAAAAAATGCATCCGAGGCCAATATGAAAAAAAAAATCATAAAATAAAATAACTAGAAGCAATTCTAAATGTCCTTAACTCTTTTCGAAAATCTTGAGACCTAAAATAAAAAAAAGGACAACAAATATCTTTATGTGTATATATATATATATATA